AATTGAGAGAGGGCCCGACATGGCCCGGTGGATAAGTCACTCGCCTCGCAATCCGAGGGTCGCGGGTTCGGACCAAACATGCTCACTTCGGCGTGGGGCTAGCACCTCCACACCGATAACAATCTGCTACTGGAACAACACTTCCGTCGGCGAAGTGTCGTTGTAGCCCTATGTCCAGCTACGAACGACAGGAACTAAGAGAGAGAGAATTGAGAGAGACTTAATGATTGTTATTACCTGTTCTGTGTGGAGTACAGTCGAATAACGCTTGGAATTCCTAGCAGCAGCCTAAATATACGATTCTACATCTTGTTGAATGCTCATTCTAGATGCACTTTTCCAAATAAGGCCTAGCCTCAAATTTAAATTATTTTAGGCAGGATTAGAGTAAATTAATCTATGAGACATTGGGCGTGGTCAAATACATCAATCGAAAGGGCTTGACCTTCTGAGTTCAAAACTGTAATTAGATCTCAAATCGGCCAAGAGATGACGGAGCTATGAGCTAAAAGTTTCTTAAAAACACACCAAACAACAAACTCAGAGCCATTCTATGAGCCACTGAGTCACGGCGAAAAATCGGAAACATTCTGCTCATTGTGAAAATGTGTTTGTGAGTCAAACTCGAGAATGTGTGACAGCCGAAACGTCAAGCTAATGAAATAATTAAGATACGTCTCAATTTTTATTGATTTTTGAAATTGTGATACTACCTTGAAAGTAAGTAAACATGTGAACTATCTTTATTAAACTTGAATGTCCCCCCCTCCCCCAGTGGGACAGCGGCAAGTCTACGGACTTGTAACGCTAAAATCCGAGTTTCGATTCTCATAGGTGGACACAGAAAATAGCTCAATGTGGCTTTGATCGAAAAATAAAACAAACAATAAACCTGAATATGTTTGTTAGAATAAGCTATCTTCGTTATTCCAACAGTAGAAAATCTACAGACTGATAATTTAAAATCTAGGGTTCGATTTGCTGCGATGGACAGAGCGCAATTGGCTATTTTATTACTTTCGGTTT